AAGAAATACATCGATCATGTTAGAACAAAGTAAATTATTTTGAAGAAAATAAAATGACCTAAAATTTTTCCGACATACCGATATGATGAAGGAATAAGAAAACGCCTTTTCTATATCAAATTATGTTCGCTAATCCCGTGTTTTATAGAATATTTTGGAAAGAAAAGGAGAGCAAAAAATTATTCTAATATATATATATATATATATAAATAAATAAATAAATAAATAAAAGCATATATTCTTTTCTCTTTTGAATATTAGGTTTTTTATGGGTTAATGCAAATCCAATAAAAATATGACACGTGGGTATTACATTGGTAAGATTATTAATTAACTTTTGTTGAAATTCTATTGAGATATAATAATAAATCAAAGCATTAAATTCTCTACTTTATTATTTTGATTTGACAAAACAAAAAATAAAAAAATGTATTAATTACCCAATAAGATTACGATATCACGAAATAAGAATAAAATTGGAGTGATTAGACATTTTATTATCTAAGTTCGAATATTACATATTTTTATAAAAAAAAAATTAAATATATATATATTTATAATTTATAGTCGAGTGTAGCTTAGGAACAAACCTGAATGATCACGAACAAGAAAGACGGGAAAGGAGCAAAGGGAAATGCTACCGGGGGAAGCAAAGGGACTAGTTGTTGAATATTTATAGTGAATTTGTGGTGCTTTTAAGACTATGCCCTTTTTTGAAGCAAGGATCAGGTACCATAGGTTATGTGTAGTATGTTTGGTTTTCTTCTTTTCAACTTTTCTCGACTTGGGTAGTATTACTGTACCAGTTCAAGCTCACCATTAGTAGATATTGTTCTCTTTAGACTTTCCATTTCTGGGTTTCGCTCAAGGTTTTTAAAACGCGTATGTTAAGGATAAGTTTCCAAACCCGTAGAAAGAATTCTTCGTTCTCCTCCTAACCGATCTGGGACCTCACAATCCACCCCACTTCGAGACCCAACGTCCTCGTTAGCATACTGCTCGGTGTCCACCCATTTCAAAGCTCAATGTCCTCCCTGACACTTATTCCCCTCTCCAATCAATGTGGGATCTCACAATCCCACCACTATTGAGAGTATTTGGTATAAATTTTGACATAATTTAAGTGGTTAGGTATCATATTAGTACTTTCAATACTCACGAGCATCCTTAGGTTAGTAAGCGAGTTCTCCGTTCGTGTAAGCTAGTATTTAACCTAACCTAAATATGACAGACAATTTAGTTGATATATGCTAAAAAACGACATAAACTCGTTACAAAAATGCATAAGGTATTGATTTTTTTCTCAAACTATTATGTCAAAAGGACGTAAAGTTGTAAAGGTAAAGTTAAAGAATAATTGGAAACTAAGGTAGATTGAATATTATCATGTAGATTGATCAAAGTGTCCAAAGTATAAACAGAATGAAAGTACGAGATTCCCTTTTGTGTAATTGTCAACTTGAGTATATAGTTAAATCAATTAAGGTATTATATGATGTCGACTCTAAGATAGAGAAAAGAACTAGTAACGTACGTAGTAATATTATTATTATTATTATTATTATTATTATATTGAAAGTATTTGGCATACATTTTGGGATTAAAAAAATAAATTATTAATTGGATATAATATTACAATTTTGCTACACTTTAAAGATGTAATTAGACTTATTAAAGCAAAATATTAAAGGAAGAATCGGCTTTAGCTTATTACTTTGAAAAACACTATTATTTCTTTTTTATAATTATAATAAAAATAAAAAAACTTTCACTTTTACTTTATTCTATCTTTTATTAAATAAGGCATCGTTTAATTAATATATTCGTAATCGATTCTTAATTTTAATTAAACTATAAATTTGATTCTAAACGGAGAATTTACGTATTGGATGAAAGTCTCATAATCACTAATTTAGGGAATAATCATGGGTTTATAATCAAAGAATACTATCTCGATTGGTGTGAGGCCTTTTGGAGAAGCCCAAAGCAAAGTCATGAGAGTTTATGCTCAAAGTAAACAATATCATACTATTGTGGAGAGTCGTATTCATCTAACATGGTATCAGAGTCATGCCCTAAACTTAGTGTCAAATGTAGGGAATGTTAACTTTTCTTTGATAAAATAGATTGATAGCAATACGTGGCCAAAGAGAACAATGTCTGCTAGACGGTATTAGAGTCATGCTCTAAACTTAGCGTCAAATGTAGGGAAAGGACGCAGGTGTTACAAATGGTATCAAAAGTAGGCACTAGGCGGCATACTAGAGAGGACGCTAGTCCCAAAGGGATGGATTGTGAGATCCTATATCAGTTGGATAGGGGAACGAAACATTTAGGGAGTAGAAAACTTTAATGCATTCCTTCAAAGTAAGGGTTTTCGTGATGAGACGTTCTCCATCTTGCACGCTCTCTTCTACTAGTAGATCGAAGATTATCAAATTAGTGCCTTAGAGCTTCCATATTTTTAGTTTTACCCACTCGAGTGATGTGCTAGAGATAGAACGCTCTGCTCTTTTAAGATGTATACCTTTTCTTCTATCTAAAGGAGTATTGGAGAATTAAGCACGCCCAACTAAAAGCAGATAGATATCGATTTAAACGAGAATTTTATGTGGGCATACAAAAACGAAAGACTGCCTATGCCGTGAAAGAGAGAGATCGCCATCACCAACATATATATAACAACTCAAGCCCACCACTAGGGAGAGGTTTTCACACCATTATAGGAAATGTTTTATTCCCATCTCCAACCGATGTGAGATCTTGCGATCTACCCCTTGGAGGCCTATCATCCTCGCTGGCATACCCCTCAGTGTCTAGCTCTGATACCATTTGTAACAACTCAAGCTCACCACTAGTAGGTACTGTTCGCTTTGGCCCGTTAGTATCACTGTCAGCCTTACAATTTTAAAACATGTATACTAGGGAGAGGTTTTCACACTATTATAAGGAATGTTTTATTCTCTTCTCCAACCGATGTAGGATCTTACAATCTACCCCTTTGGAGGCATAGTGTCCTCGCTGGCAACCCACTCAATGTCTGGCTCTGATACCATTTGCAACAGCTCAAGCTCACCGTTAGTAGATATTGTCCGCTTTGGTCTGTTACGTATTGTCGTCAGCCTCATGGTTTTAAAACGAGTATACTAGGGAGAGGTTTCCACACCCTTATAAGAAATGTTTCATTCTCCTCTCTAACCATATATGAACGAGAAGAATCAACTCCTATAGATTAGGTTGACTTTGGGTGGCATGGGCTCCTTATGTGCAAGAATTTGTGGATGATGAAGGCTTAAAATGAGTCATCTTTGGGTTGGAGGGCCATCTTAAGGGCTAACGTCCAATATGGCTAGGCCATTGGGCCCCTTGTGGAGGCCCTCTCCATGTGAGTTTACTCCCTTTATTCTAAGTGATGATTACTAGTGTTAGCTTAGTTGACAAGGCTTCATTTGTTCTTTGAGTGCCTCTTTAGTTTGTGCTAGTGTGGCGTGGGAGGATTGCATGGGTTGAATCTACTTGTTATGTTTGTGGAGTAAAAATTGGGCTATAGACCATATGGACGACGAGGTTCATAACACCGAGACGCTACCTTAAACAACGTCACAACCAGAGGACTCGAACAACCCTAATTGTCTAACCCTTTGAGTTGGGTTATATATACATTTTTTCGACTTGGGTTTGGTTGAATTTTTGGAAAATCGAAAAATTCAATTAGATTCACAGATTGCAATGTTTGACCCGACCTGAAAGTATGTCTCACAATCTAACTCAATCCTGTCCTACTTTTAAGATTATTACAGATATTAAAAATATTTGATCTTTGTAACCAATGTTACTAATGCACTGTGACTTGTGAATGTTAATCTGACAACTCAATCTAACCCTCGGTTGAGTTGTGAACCATGTTCAAGTCATTTGAGTCACCGACGTGACTAACCTAAAATTTTGAGTTGGTTCAAAAAAATTTCTCAATCCAACCTGTGTACCGCTAACCATGACATTTACCAATTTTCCCCGATGGACAAAATGGATCGATAGGCAACAATTAGACTCCCAAATCAAATCTACTTTCGACTTTAACTTGTTTGACTTAATCTATGAAGGATAAATTCGAGCACACCGCTAGTCAAAATTGTCTAATATAGCTCGTTACATATCGTTGTCAGTTTCACAGTTTTAAAATGCATCTATTAGAAAGAGGTTTTCAGACTTTTATAAGAAATATTTCATTTCCATCTCCAACGGGGGATCTAACACGACTTCAACCTAAGAGAGAAAATAAATATTCTACCTTATTGTTTTCACATAAAATTTTCTCCACCCGATCATAAATTCGACCCACGAGTCACTAAATCTCAGCAAAATTTGTTTTGTAAATAGGGTGTTCGACTCTAAAAAAATTAATATCAATATCTTCTTACTATAGGTAGCTTTAATTTATTTGATTATAAATAGAGAACTTTCCAAACAATAGGAGGCATACGACTTCGTTTAAGGACAGAAATTGGAAATTAAGAGGAAACTTCCTCACCATTACCTTTCTCAAAAGCAATCATCTAAGAGTCGTTGTTTTGATATAGGTTTCTTGGTTGAAATGAAACATAAAAAGCAAAACTTTATGATGTTCTAACAAATGAATCCAAAAGAGATGAAGAAATGAGAAAGAATGAATGGTTTTAATAAGAGTTTGTGTGTATGTTATGCTTACCTTGCAATGGCAGAAACTCGGTTGAAGAAGCTTTCATCCTTTGGCTTTCCATTTCACCAAGCAACCCTTCACTTTTTATGATGGGATATTCTATACAACCTTCCCTATTTATACCCAAACCCTCCTCTACTTTTTCTTCCACTTACAAATTTAGCCCTTCAACTTTTCGAGCTTATAATTGTTAGTGTCGGGTCCCACATTGGTTGAGGAGGAGAACGAAATAACCTTTATAAGGGTGTGGAAACCTTTCTCTAATAAACACGTTTTAAAGCTTTAAGGGGAAGCCCGAAAGGGAAAGTCCAAAGAGGACAATATCTGCTAACGGTGCTATAACATCTGGTAGTGAAGAGTTATTTATACCTAACCTAAGTATGTATTTTAGTTGGTATAGACACGGGGCAATCTCTTCATGTTTATGATGCTATCAGGTCACTATGAGTTGATATGATTTACTTTTGGTGTAACGACCTTAAATTTTCTACTTAATTTAAAGTTACTACTGTGTATATATCATAAACATTGAATGCAGAAATACTTCATTTAAAGTTTTTAATAACGTAAACTTTATCTTGAAAACAGGTATGTATTTTAGTTGGTATAGACACAGGGCACTCTCATCATGTTTATGATGCTATTAGGTCACTATGAATTGATATGATTTACTTTTGGTGTAACGACCTTAAATTTTCTACTTAATTTAAAGTTACTACTGTGTATATATCATAAACATTGAATGCAGAAATACTTCATTTAAAGTTTTTAATAACGTAAACTTTATCTTGAAAACAGGTATGTATTTTAGTTGGTATAGACACAGGGCACTCTCATCATGTTTATGATGCTATTAGGTCACTATGAATTGATATGATTTACTTTTGGTGTAACGACCTTAAATTTTCTACTTAATTTAAAGTTACTACTGTGTATATATCATAAACATTGAATGCAGAAATACTTCATTTAAAGTTTTTAATAACGTAAACTTTATCTTGAAAACAGGTATGTATTTTAGTTGGTATAGACACGGGGCAATCTCTTCATGTTTATGATGCTATCAGGTCACTATGAGTTGATATGATTTACTTTTGGTGTAACGACCTTAAATTTTCTACTTAATTTAAAGTTACTACTGTGTATATATCATAAACATTGAATGCAGAAATACTTCATTTAAAGTTTTTAATAACGTAAACTTTATCTTGAAAACAGGTATGTATTTTAGTTGGTATAGACACGGGGCAATCTCTTCATGTTTATGATGCTATCAGGTCACTATGAGTTGATATGATTTACTTTTGGTGTAACGACCTTAAATTTTCTACTTAATTTAAAGTTACTACTGTGTATATATCATAAACATTGAATGCAGAAATACTTCATTTAAAGTTTTTAATAACGTAAACTTTATCTTGAAAACAGGTATGTATTTTAGTTGGTATAGACACGGGGCAATCTCTTCATGTTTATGATGCTATCAGGTCACTATGAGTTGATATGATTTACTTTTGGTGTAACGACCTTAAATTTTCTACTTAATTTAAAGTTACTACTGTGTATATATCATAAACATTGAATGCAGAAATACTTCATTTAAAGTTTTTAATAACGTAAACTTTATCTTGAAAACAGGTATGTATTTTAGTTGGTATAGACACAGGGCACTCTCATCATGTTTATGATGCTATTAGGTCACTATGAATTGATATGATTTACTTTTGGTGTAACGACCTTAAATTTTCTACTTAATTTAAAGTTACTACTGTGTATATATCATAAACATTGAATGCAGAAATACTTCATTTAAAGTTTTTAATAACGTAAACTTTATCTTGAAAACAGGTATGTATTTTAGTTGGTATAGACACAGGGCACTCTCATCATGTTTATGATGCTATTAGGTCACTATGAATTGATATGATTTACTTTTGGTGTAACGACCTTAAATTTTCTACTTAATTTAAAGTTACTACTGTGTATATATCATAAACATTGAATGCAGAAATACTTCATTTAAAGTTTTTAATAACGTAAACTTTATCTTAAAAACACAGTCATAGACTTACGTGTTGGTTAAAACGACATAACAATAAACTAAATGAAATAAATAAACATTGAAATTTAAAACATCTTAATTCTTCTTTTTTCTGATACCTCTCTATCTCCCTCAATACCTACTAAGGTTCGAACCTAACCTGGACATAGAGAGTTGTATTGCCAATCAATTCATTCTCTTGAGTAATAAAGCTACGACACCGTTTGGTAGTAATCACTCGCATGCATCAAGGTGTTCCCTGGCTCGTTAGTTCTCCCTTCCATGGTGTTATCTACACTATACAGCTATGTCACAAGATTTCGCAACCATTCCTCTCCTTCCCTCTCGTTCTCAATGTTTCTATGTTTTTTGTTTTTGGTGGGCAGAACGAGGTTAGTTGGACTTAGTGAGAGGGGGACGGGCATGTTCTTGGGAGAGGTTGCCCGAGAATTCCGGTGAATCGCTGGAATTCTCAGAGATGCCAACAACTAGTTAATATATATTTGTAACCGTTACATTTGGTTTCTCTAAAAAAGTCTCGTAGCAACAAAGATAGTGTCCCTTATATACCAAAATCTTCTCCCTAATTAGCTAACGTGAGACTCTCGCCATTACTAATGATTTTAATACTAAATATAAAACAAACAAAAGAAATATTCAAAAGAATTGATAATTATTACTTATACCAATAATGTAGGTATTTCATGAACAGATATCTAATACCGAGAAATTTCGAGCTACTATATTTTTCTATTATTCGTTGTAAAAAAGAAATGTTTTAAAAATAATATATCACTAAATAAGGTATGGGATAGTAGTGGGTATAGTAGTTGGAAAATAAAGGAGCAGAGGACCAACTCCACGCATTTGGATTGACATTGAACAAGTTAGTTGATTTTGTAATTTCTTTGAAACTTCTTATGGTACGAGATTTTTACTTTTCTAGGTAAAAAATAAAGTCCAATTAAAATGGTGGTAAGAAGTGAAAAGTAGTAAATGACGTGATCGCTGATCGTTCGGTAGTTGAAATGAAGTTGTAAATATATGGACCTAAGTTCACCACTAGCCGATATTGTCTTTTTTGGACTTTCGCTTTTGGGTTTTCTTTCAAAGTTTTTAAAACGTGTCTGGTAGGGAGAGGTTTCCACACCTTTATAAAGAGTGTTTTGTTCTCCTCCCCAACCGATGTGGGATATCACATGTACAATTAGTCGATGCGTCAATTTTGTCACTAATTTTAATGAAAAATGTTTCGAAGGATATTTTTTTTTGGAACAATTTCAAAGTTTGAAGGTTAAAATAAATTTTTTTAAAATTTAGGGTTACGATAAAAACCTTCCTGAAAAGTAAAATGTAATGTTGCAGAACCAGGATTCAGAATATAGGTTTAATATCTAATGGTCTCGACATTTTCATGTATCCCGTGCTACATGGTTAGATTACTTATTCCTTGCTTTTAAAAGGAAAAACTATCCTCTATAGACCAACACGAGTTTTTTCAATATGTTTCCTACGAAAATTCTCGAGAGGTCTTCTGATATGAACCAAAAAACATCAATTATACAATATACTTCAATGACGATGTGAAAAAAAAGTTGTCAAAAATATCAAAAGATGTTTCAATGCATGCCACATTGAATAAGAGTGAAGTTTGATTGTTATAAATTTTGGGTGGGTTACAATTTAGAGTTTTTAGGACTTTTTATGGTTACAATTAGATAATGGTTAATTATAACCATTAATTATGAATGTTACAACTCTTAGAATGCCCAGTAGTTTCATTTTGAGACTATATAAACTCATGTATGTTGTATTTGTAAGAGACTTGAAAAATATAGTAAAAGAAGCATTTATGCTCTTCTTTAGCCAATGACTAAGTTTCTTTGCAATTCTATGTAGTTTAGGTTGCATGTAGAATCATTCAAGCTCGACATGATCAATCTTGCTTGTGGAGTAATTCGAATCTCAAACAATGTTCTTGCCTTGAGATATTCGATCAACAAGGTAATCCGAATCTTACTCCCCTTGTAGTAGTTCCTTATCATATCATCACCCAACATAGAATTGCTCCAAAAAAAAAACTCTTAACTATTAAGGCACCGAAAAAACGTGAACCGTATTGGTATAGATAATAACTCTCAATTCTTTTATTCTTAACCATCCTATCCTCAGAACCATTTTCATTCGAACATGACCTCTGTTCATTCATGTAACCCTTTTTAACTCGGGTGTCACATAAAAACTCAAGAATATTAATGTAGAAGTGAAACCCATGTTACAACTAGCATATATCATCATCATTCATTTTATACTTCATTGGTTATTAGACGAGATATTAAAAGTATCCGATAAGTAGCTCTTCTGACATAGTTAAATATACATATATGATAGTATTTGATTTATTGTTCCTAGTTAAAACCAACCCACTTGAATCTTTACAAACATTTAGATTATGTCTATGACAACCTAGTAAACGAATGCATGCTCGTTCCACTTGAATTTTCTATCCACTCTAACCTTTTCCGTGTGAAAAAAATGTTAATACGTCACTTTGGTTGGCCAAGAAAATAAAAAAAATAACATACCCTATAAAAAATTTCAGAAAGTTCATTAATATAAGGGTGTGGAAACCTCTCTGTAAACGGGTCTGAAAAGTTTTGAGGGGAAGTTTGAAAGGAAAAGCCCAAAAAGAACAACACCTGCTACTAGTGGACTTGGACTGTTATAGTTGACACTGCAGTGACTCTCTCGTTCCGATGAAGATGACAAAGGCAAAGATCAGAAAACTATGAAAAGTAGATAGCAACCATGACACTTATCATTTGAACTTACTAAGCCAATCCTCTAAACTCGAACACGAACACTAGAGTCAATAGGCGAGCATTTTCAAATTTCTCTTTAGAGAGTCGTTGAAACTTATTTCTAATGTTTGTTTTATTATGCTTATTTTAAGTTCGTTGGATTTCCAAGTAAGACGTTATGTAGTATGTTTTCTCGAAATGATAAGCTACGTTCAGATAGATGCTTTCTAGCCATGTGTTGATGAAAACGTTTTGTTTATAAATTTCTCTGCATTGCATCGTGTTTAATGGTTTCTATATGTGAGTCTTCATGCACATGTGTGTTCATTCTAGTTATGAAATATTTATACATTCTTCATTTGATTCTTTACTCTTTCGAGGTTCCACATATTTGAACTTAAAAAATTGCTCAATATTAATTGTCGGAAAAATGACATCGAGAGAGAGAAAAGTAGATATGACTTTTTGTACTCGTCACCTATCACGAGAGGCTAGAAAGTTTCTATGAAACTTCCTCTAACTTCATTAGCTTTCATCACTTATAATAGACAAACTTACATAGCAGAGTTGACGCTGTTTATATTTGTATAGAATATTTCTTCACCGAAATTTTGTAGCAATTTCCTTTAGTTGAGTGAGGTCATAGCTCATTATTTTGGTCGCTTTCTTATAGTTTTATTCGATCATTATTCGAGTTTTAATCTTTTATTTTTTAAAATTATATTTGTTTTTATCGGTTTGATTTTTTAGCTAAATTAAAAAAAATAGTGTTTCGTTCTCCTCTCCATCTGATATGGGATCTTACAATCCACCTCGTACGAGGCCAGTGTCCTAACTGTACTCGTTCTTTTCTCCAATCGATGTGAGACCTCTACTAAATCCACTCTCTTCAGGGCCAGCGTTCTTACTGGCACATCGCCTGATATCTGGCTTTGATATCATTTGTAATGGTCCAAGCCCACCACTAGCAGATATTGTCCTTAAAGTTTTTAAAACGCGTATGCTAAGGCGAGGTTTCCATACCATTTGAAAGAATATTTCGTTCTCCTCACCAACCAATGTGGGATCTGACAAAGACAACCAAAATGTGATGACATCATTAAATAATGTCATTTTCTAAACGAAAGACTAGAAGAGTATATAGAGTTGGGTTGGGTTGGGTTGAGTTCTAAAATTTATTTAGATCAACTTAAATAGAGTTCACAACCGAACCGAACCGAACCCAATTCTTTATTTTCGAGTTGGGTTGTGTTGACACGTTATTTTTTTTAAATCAATTAAAAAATCTTACTTATTTACCATAAGAGTTACATTTGTAACTGAAATGTCATGAAATTCAAATATAAAATATTTACGAGTCACAACTCATTACTAACCTTAATTACAAACTTTAAATATTCCTAATATTTTTAAAATTAAGATAGGATTAAGTTGGATTGTAATCTGATCGAGTCTATCAAATTTTCGAAATTGAAGCATATAAAATTATTTTCCAAATCTAATAATTTTAAAATAAATAAATTAAATCATCCCATGGACTTGGAAATTTCCTAGAAATTTCCAATATTAAATTCTTATAATACATAGATAGCTTTGCTTTGAGGCAATGAATAACTCCAAACAAATTCACTTATTGAGGCAATTATTTAATTTTGATTGTGAGATTGGAATATATATATATATAATTAATTATCTTACATCACAATATTCATAACAATCTATATGATATAGTGTTCATATTAATAGAGACACTCTCCTTTTCTAGACTAAGAACACCGACTATGTAAGAAATATAAAGATAAATACGCCTCTGACACTATTTTATTTATTATTTCGTTTAATTTGAGAAATAAAATATAAGTGCATATCTGGTAAATTTAATGATTATTGGATTATAAAATTAGTGACATGATAACTATGATACGGTTATGTATGAAATTTAGTGGTCATTTGAAATAAAGACAAAAGTCAATATAAAACTAAATTTTAACAGTAAATATCGAAGGACAGTTTTAACACTATTTCGCTTGTCATAGTAAGTTACAATCATTGTCAACTTTTAGTGTCGATTTATGTCGTTAAAAGTTAAGATTAGTCATTAAAGAGATTGTCTATCACAAAGTTAACTTTTAATATGGGTCAATATATATGGATGGTAAAATGCAATAATGTAGGGTAGGTTAAAATTGGAAGAAAGTAAAAGTTGTTATAAAGGATGAAGTTATTATTATTTTTATACCAAAGTTTTCTATCATATTATAATTACATTCGTGACATAAAAAGTCACGAAAGAATATTACACTATATTGTTTCTTATAAAATATTATTGGATTTATTGGAATGATCTACCTTTTTCTTAAATATGATTCTTTAAAATAGGTGGCAGAGACGAGGACGGGATTGACTTCCCATTCCTGCCCCCACCATCTTGTAGACTTCTCTTAATCAACTTTCAATTCCATGGATTTGAAAAATTGTTTTTTTTCAAGAAAATGAATAAAATAGAAAGGAAAAATTGATGAAATAAGAGAGCAAAGAAAGATGAATTGCTTTCATAGCAAGGCACTTTTTTAAGAAAGAGTGAACAATTTGTTTGGTAGATATGAAAGAGCTATGAAGTTTGACAAGAAGATAGCAAAAGTGTTCAATGATGAGATGATGTCCACAAAGAAACTGTCAGTGTGATGTCCCATATTTATTGGGGAGGAGAACAAAACACCCTTTATAAGGGTGTGT